TAAAGGTCAACGCTTAAGGGCCTTAAAAGTTTATTTCAATTTTGTAAGAAATTATTTTATTTTTTCATTTAATTTTATTTAAGAAATGCCATGTGACGTCTATAATTTAAATTTAAGATTAATTGCTTGACACACAATTTAGTAATAAAAAATTATATCACAGAAATGTTTAAGTTTAATGATTTTGTTTTGTAGCTTTTTTCGTGAAAAAAAAAATTATTTTTAATAATTTTCCCTAAAAATGCTTTGATTTATAAGATATATAAGTAGAAAAATTGTTTAGTGTTTTAAAGTAAATTTTCAGAACTTAAATATTCAAGTTTTTATTTTTTTTAAAAAATATTAATTCCCAGAGGCTTTTCTGAAAATTTGAGAATGACGTCCTTATTTAATTTTAATTCTGAAAATTTGAGAATGACGTCGTTAGTTAATTTCAATTCTGAAAATTTCCATAAGACGTCTTTATTTAAAATCAATTCTGAAAATTTGAAAATGACATCTTTGATCAATTTTTAGAAATTGTTAAATATTTTTTAGTAATGTCTTAGTCATTAAAATATATTTTCAACACCTTATTTATTAAATGTGCTCACAAGTCTTTATGACATACAAATATTTTTATTATATTTGTACTTAAAATTTATTTAATTATTAATTAAGCTTAAAACCAATAATTTTCTTGCCCTCAAGTTTGTTGTAAATCCTTTTACATTTGATTGACTAATAAATTGGAATGATGTCATATAAAAATTAATTATTTTTCAATTTTTCTCCATGGCTTGTGTTACTTATATAAATATTTTGCTTAATTTCGAGCTTAATTTGCAGAAATTTTAACATTTTAACGCCTATATGATTGCAACTTCATTAAGGCCTTTTAAATGAGCCTAAAGCGATTGCATGGCGGCATTTTTGTCTAATGGCTTATCTTAATAACTTGAAAGATCTTAAATTTTATGATAAGTCATAAAATTTCAAATTTCGCTGTGTATACGCAATTAGCTTTCACAATTTATTTTTTTTATTTTGTTGATGTTGAACAATAAAAAGTACTCAATTCCTATGATTTTATATTTTTTTAAATTGCCATAGAAATTCACATTAATATTTAGTAATAATTTACACCCATGTGTTACACTCGTAAGTTGTAACAATGAATGCCTTGGTTTCATGAACCGGGGCATTCCAGCTTCAGCACTACGCATATTTCTCACAAAGATCTCAAGTCAAAAAAAAACAATTCCTAAAAATCATGGAAATGAGGAATGCATTTCATAATGCATTTTTCATATGCGTTTTTATGCTTCAATTGACTTTACTTGCAGAGTTGGTCTAGTGCTCTGAAAAATGATAACATAACAATGGCAATTCAACGTAGATGCATTTTTTTAAAAGCAATCACAACGAGAAGATCACAATTGTGTAGCTCCGAGTAATTGAAACGAAATGAAGAGACATGAGCGATAAAATTATGAATATCATGAATTGCATGTGAGATACATTTAATTAATTGCTATTATAACATTGAGTCCAAATCATAGCTACGCAGTTCTAATACTAATTTATCACAAATGCTTCGAGGGTTTACATCAATAATAATTAGCCTAAGCAACTTGAAGTCATAGAAATCTATAATAAAAATCCCATTAGCTTTCAGTTCTTACAGTTCTTAAGTTTTAACAAAGTATCTTAGACACCCAAAAGCGCGGTAGCGTACCTATGTAAATCAATTAATTTTCTTTTAAGTTCTTTTGAGAACCGCCCTTTTTAGAAAATTGTTTTATTTTTTTAATTTTTATTTTTTCAATTTATAAAAAAAAATTTTAAGCGAAATATGTGTTACTCTTAAAATGCAGGCGAAGAAAATTCGTTGATCATAAATGATAAATTTATAATTGATGACTTTTTTCACACCCGGTCATAATTTAGGCGTAATTTCAGAGACAAATTATGGGCGAGCTTATGGTGCGGCGAAACGTCTGCCTTAATCCCAAAGCACACAAAAATAAAAGTCAGGAAACTTCAAACCTAAGAGGCAACACTTTTGGATAGCCAAGAAGAGAGGAATATCAACCATAAAACTATAAATTTTTTAAGTTTATTTTTTGAAATAAAAAACCGGACAGACCGACTTTTGTGCTGTCTGTGCGTAAAAAATATTTAAATTAAAAATTAACTATAAAAATGTAATAAAAATTTATCTGATTAAAAATTATTAGGATTATTAAAATTATTATTGCATTTGATTATTAAATTACTATAATTTCTTTATTAAATAAAAGTATCAATTTGACAAAATAAAAAATTCATAAATAAATTAACTTTAATTATCATTTGTGAATTAATACTTTCATGTATCTAGTATTACTACAAGACTTGAATTAAATTTCTATAATAAAATTGTTTTAACTTCCACTTCCAATATAAGTAATATGTACTTTCCCTTCCTTATTTTAATAACTCCGCATAAAGCCTTCACCACTGCTCGCCATGTCACGCTCGACATTATATAGTATCATTGCTTAATTTAAAAAGTTTTTATTATTTTAACTGAATTTTAATTATTTCTTATTATAATGAATATAAAATAATCATATCAATACCGTATACAAGAGGTGAAACTTAATACTCCGAATAAAGCCTTTTCCACTGCACCTAATCTCACTCTGATCAAGCTAAGTATATGACTGATAAAATTCAACATATACTTTCATTGCTTAATTTAACTAGATTTATTATTCTAACTAAATTAAAAATTTCATGAACTTTAAATCATATGATTTCTGCATACGCTCTTAAGTCATATAAGTACTATGACTAGAATGCATATACTCGTATTATAAAACATAATTTAATTGAATTATTTATTTATTCGACATTATTTATAAATATTTATTCATAGTAAATAATAGTTGTACTAAGTATATCCAGTGATATAGAAAAATACATATAAGTATACAAAAAATATAACCTCTAAAGCTTAAGCATAACTGAAAAGTATCAACATAGTAGAAACAGTAGGTAATTGGGAATTGTGATTTGACTGTCTGCATGACATATGTTCATGGTCATGACCAGGGCTGTCCAAAGCTCGCCTTTGGTATATTTTGGTAAAACTTCATTATTTTACTAATAAATAAATGAATTAAAATAAATAAATCAATCAAACTAAATATAAAATTATCACCGTATTTTTTGTTTCTCCAGACAAATCATTAACGTATGTATTTATTTTTGGAACCCTCCCATCTATACAATGTTTTGTATTAACTCGCGATCTGAACAGTTCTGAACAGTCCTGGTCGTAAAACTGCATTATTTTACTAATAAATAAATGAATTAAAATAAATAAATCAATCAAACCAGATATAACATTATCACCGTATTTTTGTCTCCAGACAAATCATGAACGTATATATTTGTTTTTGCAACCATCCAATCTTTACAATGTTTTGTATTAACTCGTGAACTGATCAGGTTTAAATAGTCCTGGCCGTGACTGTTCGTCACATGAGTGTTTACATAGCATAAACCTAAAGGGAAAAAAATTATCAAAACAAAACTCATAAGTAGTAGACAACTTAGTCGAGTCAATTTTTTTATTAATGCAACTTTGAATTCTATATGGAATTTATGGAGACATTCAGCCGTGTATCCAGGGATCAAGAATTAAGAGATATATCCCCCCTTGACTATATACACTGAAAAAGTAAGCAAATATGAGCAAATCGATTTATTTCAGAGAGCTCATCAATAACTTATATATTTTATAGTATCAGCAATATCTTCTCGCGAATATCTCTACAAGTTGAATGTACTCCCTATCACTTACTCTGACAAAGGTACCAAAATAAAAAGCATTCAATGGAAATAAATGTCGAATCCATATTATACCATAAAGCGTGGGACTACAAAGACACTACACTTTCCAGTTTATGCAATTCTTGCTCTGAGAAATTTTTAATATTTTTTCACTACTTTATGCTATTCAACGCAGTTTTAAATGGAACTCTCGCATGCAATAAATTGACATAATTAATGTCTTCAAATTTCTTTATACTTTCCGCACGTTTGCTTGAGATACTCCAAAACGAAACATTACATGTTTTTAATAGTGAAAATACTGTAACTAAATTCATGCGCAACAACAACAATAACAACAACTGTCTTACAATAACAAAACTCTTTGCATAGTTCATCATCAAAGGATAAAGGATGTTTGAAACACTCCTTAGAGAATTCTAATAGCGCAGTAGTGTAAATCATTTTTCATTTTGTTTATAAAGCACAACATCTGCTATTTTCAGATAATTTAGTGAGATGAAATCAGTGGATGAGGAAAGGCAGGTGTAAGACGTCAAGAATAGAATAGAAAAGTGTAAGCAGCATTAAAAATCTTTATGTGAGATACGAGTACATGTAAGATACATACAAAAACAAATGCATGACAGTAAAAAATAGGCGAACCGAAAAAAAATGGCCACCAACACAACAGATTATTTAATGGTGCACAAAGTTGGTTGCCCCGCTGTAGTAGGAACACACAAAGCAGGAACGTAACATGTGTTTGAAGAGGCACGTTGTTTAGTCCTGTGACCCTATTAAATAAATTTTAAATGGAAAATTAAAAAAAAATCTCTTTAAACGATTTTACATTAGGCGTTGTGTGCAATTGCTTTACCCGGGACTCATCAACAAAGATTTTGTATGTGCGATGGGCGCTTGAAATTCTAAATTCTGAATTCTAAACGAATTCAAAAATGTAGAAATTCCTAAGTCAGTGTGGTAAACATTTAAAAAATTCGAGATTTTTTACCTGCACGGCCTTATTCCTGCTTTTGTAGGAATAAGGGTGGAAACATAACAGAATTTATTTAAGATTTATTTGTATTTTACTTCACATTGCACAGGTAGAATGCCTGGCATCTTTTTTATAATTCACACATCGTTTACTTAACAAACACTTATCTTGATGCTGTCAACTTTTTTTACCATTACAGATCCTTGCTGGACCCTACGGCCTCTCATAGTGGCATACATGCCGCAAATGACAGCAATTCCTCCCAAAATGCCAGCAGCACTATTACCACGAGCACTTCCGCAGTCAATCCAGCGACGAGATTAAATATGCGCAAATGGTTTTCACGTCCCTCACTACCGTTCGTCATAGGCATCTTGGCTTTGGGCGGCGTCGCTTGTACTTTGGGTGGCATTGTATTAGGTTCTACAGGACTAATTGAACACTCTACACAATATTTGAGTGCTGCGCTGCTGATGATTGGCATTGGCGTCTCATTGCTTGTGATATCTGGTGCAATTTGGCGTTTAAGCTTACCTGATGACACTGACGATTGCCCGTGCTATCGGCATATGGAAACATGTCGCAACTGTAATAGTCCATACTGTAATAATCGTTTACTGCCTGGTAGCTACTTGTATCCTGAGTTTCAACATCGCCCACCGCCGCCTTCCTACTTGACTTCATTAAATGAATGTGCTGCTATGAGGTAAATTCATAAAACCATATAAATTTAGTCGTAGAGGCAAGTAACTATTAATTACTCTACTTTCAGTCTGCTATTCCATCCAGCAACTCAACAAGCCGCATATAATACTTTACGTATGAACACACCACCGCCACTGTACCGATCCACTAATTCATTAGCCGTTTTCATGCCCAACGGAAATAGTAATAACGGCCAGCCGAACAACAGTATATCAACTGGAAATGCCATCAATCCTACAACAATTCCAGTCCTACCTAACGCTGGTAGTATTCTGCAGGATCACAATGCGCTAACCATGAGTGTCGTCATGGAGAATCTGCAAGCACAGACGCAAGCTGTGACTAAAGAATTCAACTACTTAGAACTGGATTAGAATAATAAGCATTGAGGAATAACCATCAAGAAGTTGTATGATATAGTGTAGAAGAGAGTAAGAATATAGGAGAAAATATTGAGGAGAGAAAAAATTTAGTATAGAAGAGGAGAGAGAAAACTAAGAATATATATGTTATGCATGAAGAGAGAGGAAGGCACGATATAATTCTCACCCACCAAAGTGGGATAAATGTCAAATATATATTTTTAATATTCATTGTTAGGTGACTGATTTTAGTTTTATTAAAATATTAAAAAAATTTACTAAAATAGTTAGCATTAATAGTCTTTTTTTAATTTACAACAATTTATATATAAATAATATTTTCTATATCAATCTCAAATGATTAATGTTGTGTAGTAATCCAGAGTATGGGTCACAGCAACTGGTGACCGAGTGAGGAGGCTACCTTCTAAAACCAGTAACAATCGTAAATCGCAAATAGATAGTCTCTCAATGTATGTTCTAAAATTTAATTTGCTCAATCTGTGTAATTAAACATGATTTTATTGTAAGTTTATATATATACATGTGTGTTATATTATATAAATGTTATAAATATTTATTAAATGTTGTGGGAAATGCTACTATGAATAGTTAAAGAGACATTTGAACTTAATTAATTGATATTTTTTCAAATGCATAATTCAAATTAATTCTAAGTTACTTTTATTTCATAGTTTAATAATAATAAATGTATAGTTGATAGGTTATAACAAATTTTAAATAGTTATTTTAAAAAAAAACGCATAGTATTTTGATATCTTGTTTTTAATATTTTTATGCCAAATTTTTAAATAAAATTGTGTGTAATTGTATTGATGTGAAAATATTTTGTTTTTTTTCTATATAAGTATAAGTAACAACAAAAAAGAAATTTATTTCATTTGATCCATTTATATATAAACGAGTATTAAATCTTTGAAGACTCCTACTAGGCACATAAAGTCGTAACAAGTAAATTGAATGGAACTCTGACAGATGCCATTCGTTTGACTTCACTTCAGTTCTTCCCATAAAACCGCGGCTCTTATTTGCTGATTCCTTGTCTCGTTTGGATATCCCAGTCTTTTGCTACCTTGCGGTTTTCATTCAAGAACTATTTAATAATATCTTCTGCAACTACCGCAAAGAATTTACCGAAACCATTTATATATCCGAGTCATTATTTCTTTAATAATTAAAGGTTTGAACTCTGACTTAGTGTTGGAACACCAGATAGAACACCGAATAAATATCACTTGAAACAATATTCGATAAAATAAACGTCTAAAATAACATAACGAAGATGATGCTATCTGAAGAAAACTGGACCGCCATAGACCGATTCGTTGAGCTCAAATTCAGATAGAAAATATTTGATCTCTAAAATTAATCATTTCGAAAAAGAGATAAATAAATAAACCTAAGTAAGGCCTAGACGAGGCCTGACTAACGAAGAACATTAGTAATGGGTAACCAACTCAAGATTCTTACCTTGAGGTATTCCCAATAAAGATACAGGGTAGAATCATTCCTGTTTTTAATCCGTACAAATCGGCAATATCACTATTGTGACGACAGCGACGATGCATGAACAGTTTAAAACCTTCTCTCCACGCTAAAAAGAAACTATAACTCAGTGTCAAATATTATGTTAGGGTTTAATACTCGCATGCTACGGCACAGACTGCGATATAGGACATCTTGCAGAAATTATATGACTCAGGATGGGACTTGTAGGCTTAGAACCGTATAAATTTGGAAACAATCCCCGTGATATGCAATAATTTCAAGATTCATTGTGCTTTAGTTTAAAAATCGATAGAAGTATTTTTCAATTGATTGATTGAGAGAATCCAAAAATAAAGTGTACACAGGCTTAACATAATGTAGTTTTACTTCTCTGAATAGTTTCTATGAACTCATGTGAAATCGTTAATTTCTTTAGATAAAGCTTAAATTTTAAACCGTTTAGAAGGCAATATTTGCAGAGATAGCTTCCAGGTTACGAATTATTTGGACTAGTCCCGACGAATTTATACCCAATAATACAGACAACGCTTATTGGCACACACTTGTGTTTTTTTAAAGCTATTTTTATAGGCGTTTCTATGATTTGACTTTATGAAATCAAATCTCTACACAAGCAGCTTTAATATATCTTGAAACGTAATCATTTTAGCTGTCGAAATTGCAACATTTAAAAAACATAAAGAATGTTAACATAAGGGTATTTCTAAATTAACTCTATATGAAGTTAGTAAGCTCATATTCGTAAAGTTTTAAGTCTATTGACGTCTGAATACACCTTTTTAATAATATGTGGTAAAATCCAAAAAATATTTATATTTTTGTTCACTTTGTGTTACATAAAAATTAAGCAAAATACAGGAAAATCTCACTTATGTATATACTTATTTGGTCGGAACAATCAGTTACAGGTTTTCGGCCTCACGCAGTATTCCGCTCCTGCGGTTCTGTTGAGCGAAAAGATTTTCTCATCTCGTGCATCAAACATAGTTAGTGCTCTCTCAACATGAACACTCCACCAGAGGTACGGCTTACCTCTACCTCTTCTTTCTCCAACTGCCATTTCAAATACATTTTTAGCTGAACCATCGTCATCCAACATGGAGACATGACGAAACCAGTAGAACTGCTGTATTTTAATTTACTGAATTATATCAATGTTGTGATACACCTCGAACAGCTTTTATTTTATTCGAACGCGGTAGTCATCGTAAACTTATAGAGGACGAAATATAGTACAAGTAACTTTTATATTGAACACTTCCAATACTAATTTATTATTCCACGAAAGCATCCAAGCTGCAAAATCACAGGTGCCACCAGAACTCTATTGCGTATAGAGCACTAGTTCTGTCTGTCGATAGGGAGGTCTATGTTCTAACTATACCCATAGTAGCACCTACTGACATTGGTTATTCGTCAATTTATTAATATGATTGATTAAAAATCATTTATAAAATATTTATATTTTACTTCATTAAATTTTTCATATTTATTCATAATTCTTTATTTATTATTGATTTCAAACACTCAGAAACGGCGTTTGATAATTTACTAAGATTTTGGTATGATTTAGGCCCAAGTAGCCATGACCTTAAGTTAGGATTGGATATTATTTTAAAAATGGGGGACTAACTGTTAAATAAATAAATGAAAAAAATGTTACGGTTTGCAGAGTTATGACCTTACCGAGCCGTCTAAATGGCACTATTTACTTATTATTGAAATAGTTATCACACTTCTTTATTAAAGTACAATTTTATTGAAAAATTAATATGTTAAACAATTATTTCGTTAACTTTATTTGTTTTATATCTCTATAACTTTCTAAGGTGACTAAATACCATTGTATTTGCAAGATCTTGTAAACATGGTTTGTGTATATGCTAATTCGTTACATGCCTTTGATATTTAAGTAAAGACCGTAATATCTTAATATGTTAATATTACGGTCTTAGTTTTTCTTATAAGGCAACCCAAGAAAGAGACAATTTCATCTGTTTTGTTATATATTCTCAAATCAAATGGTAAAAGATTTTGAGCGTTTTTTACATCTTTTGCACTTATATCGACTCTTTCAGTTTTACAAAAAAATAATTTCTGATCTTATGGTTTTAAAAACATTTTAAATATTTTTCGAATTAATATTTTATGCCACCACTGTACCTTCGTGGTTTTTGTCAAAATTTGGTTCTTGTCTATACTTTTGCCTCATCAATGAACTTAAAATAATTCAGTTTAATGGAAAATAACTTATTTAACAATTTTAAATTTCAAACAAAATTACCCTGAAATTATATTTTATTAGAACAAACATTAATTATTAATTGCGGTCTGCTATTCTCAACCATAATAACAAACGTCTAAGAAATTAAAATATCGTGATTGCAGACTCGACAAATGTGTGCGGCAAACAATAATTAGGTGAGAACATAACATTGACACCCACAAAATTTAACCCTTAATTTTCTCAATTTTAAATTAATATTTTATGTATTAATAAGAAGACGTCACGCCATGCTAATAAAACCAGAGAACTATTATAACTGACATAAGAATATAAACTTTAATTTATTCAGATTTTAAGCAGTTGATTTACTCCTTTGGCGTAGTACAGATATTGTGATTAGTTTTGGATAACCTTAGGGATCTGCAGAAATAAAAATGTACCTAAAAATTATGATAGGTGCCGCTTTATTATTACAACTAGGTATCTTAGTAGGATTTTTTGGATTTCCACAGCTAATGAATAAAATGATAAAAAGCGTAAGGCATACTCACTTTGGCATTAAAAATAATTTTATTGAATACTTAAAATTTATTTAAAGCAAATCAACTTGAAGCCCGGTTCGGATACACGGAAACTATGGGAGCAGTTTCCAATTGCAATCAATTTTTCTATTTACGTCTTCAATCTAACTAATCCGGAAGAGACGCAAAATGGTGGTAAACCAATCCTACAAGAAATAGGTCCGTTCGTATTTGAGTAAGTTGCATTCATTTGAGCTGAATGTATATATTTATATGGTTTATCTATTACATGACCCACATTTATTGCATATATAGAAATTACCTTTTTTACTCTTCTTCGTTTTTTCACGCCATAATTGTTTTACAGAGAATGGAAAGATAAATATAACATTGAAGATATTGAGGAGGAGGACGCTGTTACGTTCAACATGCGTAACACTTTTATATTTCGTCCCGATTTGGGTTTGAGTGGTGAAGAAATTGTTACAATCCCACACCCATTAATACAAGTTAGACGCTTTTCTCTGTTATTTCTTTCCAAATACTAAGCAAATATATTTCAGGTCATGGCAATAGCCATCAAGCGCGATAAAGAAGCTCTACTTGAAGTTGTAGTGGACGGCATTAATGTTCTCTTTAAACCCACCAACCCCTTTGTAACTGCTCCTTTTATGGATATATTTTACCGTGGTATTGATATTGATTGCTCCAGTGACCATTACGCAGCAAAATTGATTTGCTTAAAATTTTACACAGGCGATATAAAAGGTGGATTCCAAGTCAATGCAACCCATTTTAAATTTTCGTTAATGAGTGGAGTGAGTACATCACACCATTTGAAACAACCCATAAGTATTATAAAAATTATATTCTTTTACAAATTTTGTTTCACTAAAGGGCAACCACAGCGATGCTGGACAATTCAAGGTATCACGTGGCATAAAAGTGAGTCGTAATGTAGGCCAAGTCTTGCAGTTCGATTACGAGGATGAGTTAAGTGTTTGGGATGGTGATGAGTGCAATCGTTTTCGTGGCACTGATTCGACTATTTTTGCACCACTTATGTCACCAAAAGACGGACTTTGGAGTTTCTCTGGTGATTTATGCCGTTCTTTAGGTCCGAAATTTCAACGTAAGGTCAAATATGATGGCATACCTGCATATCGTTATACCATGGATTTCGGTGATGTTAAGGTTGGAATGGAAATGTAAATTCAAATTCGTTGTTAATTGGTGATTTATGCCTTACACAGAATGAATTAGAGAATCATTGTTTTTGTAACAAATATCCTGATGATTGTCCTGCAAAAGGCACAATGGATTTGTGGCGATGCAATGAAACCCCAATGATTGCCTCACTTCCCCACTTCTTGTACGCAGATAGCAAGCTTTTGGCAGGAGTTGACGGTTTGGAGCCGCAAGAACAAAAGCACAGCATATTTGTGGATTTTGAAATTGTCGCATTTAAAAATTCTTGCTGGAATATTTCTTTGTTAATCAAATATTTTTCATTTTGTATATAGATTTCTGGAACGCCACTCTCGGTAGCTAAACGAATACAATTTAATCTAGATGTTATTCCTATAGAGCAACTAAAAGTTATGCAAAAACTGCGTCCTCTAGTTATGCCACTCTTCTGGGTTGAAGAGTCCGCCAACTTAGATGGCTCATTTACCGACATGATAAAGAAGAAAATCTTTTTGTAAGTGAAGTCCATATCTGCCGTACGTATAATTTAAATCCAATATGTTGTAGAGTTATCAAGGTCAATAGCACCATCAAATGGATTTCAATTGTGATGGGTGCTTTTTTATTCATATTGGCATTTTACATGCACTACACCAACAAACGAGACCGAAAGGTGTTTGCAGTTGGAGTTGCCGCCCAAAATGAGTTCAATAAGAAATATTAAAATTTTTAAAGCGTCTGCACTATTAACTTTAAATAAAAATATTAATCAATTAAAAAATAATGCCTCTACGAACAGAATAGTATTGAAATTTAACAATTAAAAATAAAAATATAATTAATTAATTAATTCAATTATTCTACAGCTGGTTTATGATTTCGTTCTAATATAAACACAGCAAAAGTAACAAAAGTCCAGAAAAATATGAGAACATGAAAAGTCAAGTACGGTTTTGGATCAGTTGGTTAAGGTGCACTGATTCTGAGCTTCACATTTATCAGGACCCGAGTTCGATTCCTGGTACTTGCAGTCTCAAAAATAATTATTACCGAATAATTAAATACAAGAATAATTTCGAAGACCACTGATGATGGGTATTTGGCAATACTCGAAACAGCTGTATGGTCAGCCAAAAATTCAATTAATTAAAATAATATAAAAAATAAAATTTTTGTTGTTGTAGTTTACTACTGTTCGAAAAAACTTCTTTATAAAATCTCTCTTTAAAATTTCTAAAAGGATAAGTGCGATTTGACAGATAAGTGTGATTTGATGCAATATATGTATGTATCTATGAATATATATATGGTACTTCGATATGTTAAACATAACATTGGTTTGGTTCGGTCTGACAAATTATTTCAATATTTTGTTCATTATTGGAGACTCAGCAGACCCAAATCTATTTCAGTAAAATTAAATAAAGATTTGGTAATTGGAAAGAAACCTATTAGATCCAATCTATACATTAGAACTAATTTATTTCAAAACGTATGCATATAAGATAGTTTAAGACAAACGTACGCTTAAGTAAGCGTCTTATTATTATGTACTATATATTATAATTATATAGAAAGATACTTTCGATATTGTACTACTCACAATAATCAATATAGGAGCAGTCCACTCCTTCATCAAGTCTCTTGCATTAATACATTAAAAAATCATTTTATATTTAAGATAATTTTTTTATTTGTACAAATAGTTTTTAACTAAATAATAGCATATTTTGTACTTAACTTTTATGTGTTTATAAGGAAGTATTATAAAATAATTAATTTACATATATAAAAAGTACAACACACTCAAGAAATCAGCCGCGATGCAAAGTAAATAAATAATTTTAATAGAAGACGCGATGCCCGAAAGACGTGAACAACGAAAATTTTAGCTTTGGTTTGTTTGTTTGTTTCGAAATTGTTGTTGCTTAAATGTTTTATAAATTCAAATTAAAATTATTAGAGCCTTAACTAAACTTCTAAAATAGCCTAAGAATCAGAAATCAGAAACGCAAACTACACATAAATTTATATTTACAGAACTTTTTCCAAAAGTGAAAAAGTTGAAAATATTTGCTTTTTAAAGAGAGAGATTTTGTTTGAAACATTTTGGACCATAGAAACCTACGATAAGGTCTATTAATTTTTTAACAATATCACCACTAATAGAAACTAAAGACAACATACACCCACGCCATGCCACTCTACAGCTTCTTCGCCTTCACATGTGTGGGTACGGTATGTCGTATGACTTCTGGACGCAGCAACAAACGCTTCAGCAAATAGATGACCATATACAGTACTGCTATATAAAGTGCTGCCACATCTATCAAATAATACTGCAGCCAACTGAAAAAAATGATATGGGTTCAGTGATATATACTTAAAAGATTTATTGAAATGTAAAACCTCATATTTCGTGCGGGTGACTGCAAATGATAGGCGCCTTTATGACGCAGAACATATTCAGTCCAGTAGACTGCAGTTTCCAAGGGCGTTGTACGCTGATCCAAGAGCAGTCTTTGGCGGAATCTAAAAATTAAAGCGTTTTATAATATAAATTGTGATATTAAATGCTATATAATATGCTATATACCGGGCTGCATTCCTATATTGTGGGTCATGTATCACTTTCATTATTGATTTATACAGTTGTGTCGCGCTTAGAGTGGCTAAATCCAATTTGATGGCATAACCATCAACCTCTGCTTTAGCTGAGTTCACATCGTGATCACAGAAGACAGGCATTGTGACAACTGGCACACCATGAAAAACTGTCTCATACATGCTCAATAGACCGCCATGTGTGACAAATGCTCGCAATTTCCTATGTCCTAGTATATCCTGTTGCGGCAACCAACGACTTATTTTGACATTTGGTGTTAAATCTGCCAACTCATCAGCACCGCCTTCGTATTTCCAGAGCACATGGTATGGCAAGCGTGCAAAAGTTTTCACCAATAAGCGACGTAGAGTTTCTGGCATATTTGCAACTTTAACCGATGAACCCATTGAAACGTATATAAAACCGGACTCTCCAGCAGATGCTATAAATTCTTCTAAATCTTTTGGCAAGGGTCTGGCTGGTTTGCAGTGTATGCAGGCTACCTCCGCAACATTTGGATTAAGCGCACGTGGATAAGATACCACTGCATGACCATTTTGTAAAATGAAACTCACATTTTTGGACATGTCGTAGGGATGTGGTATTTGTGTGCCTAAACGCTCACGCATCACTCTATACACCATTGCTATAACGAACTATAGGGAAACGAATTGTTAACATTCCATATATATGTAATAAAAATATACTAACCTTATGCATCAAATCCTGAAATACTTGCATCAAAGTATTACCGGCGCGTTCCAGCAAGTTCATATTGTCCGTAAATGAGGAATAAAAATTTGGTGTCACTGCATATGAACCCGGATTGCCAGACTTTGCTAAACTGCCCGTGTAAAAGCCAACTGTATTCATATACATAAAGGGTACTTTATATTGATAGACCAGTCCTAATGCACATTCGGGATATGCACCATCCAAAATGGCTAAGTCAAAATGCCGGTTCAATAGTTCCTTAGTTTCTGCATCCTCCAACATTGCATCGCAGGACTGGAAACAAAATACAGAAATTATTACTTGAATATTTTATGACTACTTCGACGCAATATGTAGGTTTATGTGTAAGAAAGTTTATTATAAATGTAAATACATTTTTTCACATATTAAAAACGCTTTCGTTGTTATTGCCAAAAACTTCGGCTCGTATTAGACGTGCTGTCAAGCATTACATTTATAATTTTTGTTAATTTTTGTTAATTTTATGCATGCATCATTAGGCAATAAGTGGCGCAAAACCGTTAAAAGTACTTCAAGCTTTTACCATGAA